TGGTCTTTAAATCCAGGCTTACATGGGTTATGCATACGTATTGGCATTAATACACATTATTTCAGTCTTCATATTTTTCATTATTTGGTATATCAGGATTCAGAGCATACTACAAGTATATGAAAATGTAGCATGAAATTATATACAATATCGGCATTTATTATGTAATTCCTTGATAATATTATTCATTCCTTCAAAATGTTAATTATACAAGTTTTTCTGGGTTGTCATTTCTTTCAAACTTTTATTCTCAAACTTGACTTTTCTTTTTAAACTAAGCAAGAGTATTTTTGAAGCTTGAAAATGAAACAAAACAAGAACAAAAATAATGTTTTTCTTGCTTTGGAATTCAGGTCATCTTGACAGTTGTCCACTTAAATTATACTAATTCTACTCACGGTAGAGTAACATTGAATATACTAGAGTAGCAAAGTTCCAACTCAAAGACAAGAAGACACACAATGGATTGATTGGCTGAGTCTAAGAGAGACATCTGCTGGCCACATTTGGGTAGCTACTCTAGGAAATAATTACCAGGATTGGTAATTCTACTCTGTACAGCATTCTCAGAAGTGGGCGAAAAAAATGTGGCAAAAATATTGGGAAACATTTCTAAAATTAACTCATTCAATTAACATTGATCAGTAGATTACTAACTACTAGTTCATAAAGAGACAAATAGTTATATGCATTATAGAAAAATGCTTTAGAAGGCCCATTGATAATCTGTGCCTAAGTAATGAGGATATTAAAATCACACATCATGTTACCATAAAGTAATGAAAATAATAAAAAAGAGTCACTCCTTTAGATGGGTAAAATTGTTAGTACCAGTCAAAATCTGAAAACATAATGACAAGTAACAGATAATACTATAAGATATAATCAGTATTCATTCATATTTAAAATGTTATTACTATCATATGTTTGCATGTATTCAACCTTTATATCTTTCCTTTTGAGCCTTTAAACTTTGTCTTCAAAATAATCATAAAAAATAATATCAGAAAGGTCATAATTATCATTATACAGTTCTTGTTTTCTGCTACAGCCTGTGTTTTATGAACAGCAAGAAGAGACCGTAATTTAACTGATCATGCCTATACAGTATAAACCGTATACTGGTTTATAAATTGGTTGCCTCCTCAAATAAAGTAAAAATGGTTGAATAAAAATTTTGTTGGTATACAAAGTTGAAAGTATTTTAACTCCAGGAGAAGTCTTTCTTTGTAAAAACACTTTTATGAGTCATATAAAAATAACCATTGTCTGTATTTTTAGATGTGGTTTATTACTTTGAACAACTGTGTAAAAGATAAAAGGCTAGAATCAATTTCTTACAGTAAATTTTTTTGGTTGGTACTAGTGGCTTTAACTGGCCACTCTGGTTTCTCTCCTGTTGGCACTACCGCTTCATTGCTTTTTATTCGTTTCCTCTGGAGATGGGTTGCTATATCGGTGACTTTTATTTATTTATTTTTTTAAGTGTACTACTTTTGTGTGTCACAGTAAGAAACACTAACGCTTTTTGCCAAATCTATTGCGTCTTTACTGCATTAATATGAACTCAAGTCCCACGGGGCTGGTGTAGGATCCGTCATCACTCATACACCAAGGTTTCCTCTTGCCTCTTTCTTTTCCTCTTATATTTTCTGTAACATAAAAACTCTTTGTGTTTGTGTAGGCTGTGCATCACAATATCATTCCAAATTTAAACAAACTCTGATCTTGAGACTCCTTCAGAGGAAATATTAATTCTCATGGTCTTATTTAACTTTTTCATTTTCCCTTCATGAAAATTATCCTTAAGTTAAAAATAATTATTTTATAATAATTATTTCTTAAATGCTCATTTGAAAATTATTCTGGTCAGGTATAGAAATCAGTCATTGTAATGTAGACATAAAATTGAGTCAATAAAATTATTTATTCAAAGATGTTCTTTTTAATTAACTTTATTTTTTAGGTTATGCATAAGTGTTTAATGTATTACCCAGGGTGGGCTTCTATATCTTTTGATTTTTAAAAAAATATTACTCTTGTATGATATTTCCATTCATTAAGGAGAGTTTCAGTTTCCACTGAATAAGGATATCAGGTATAAATTGAAATCAATATTAATTCACAGTAACTAATTATCTCAAACTCAATTATTCTTTGATATTCTTGTCTTCATACTGTCTAATTATTGTCCCCTAATATTTATCTTTTTACCCTCTTCAATAGTAATCTCAAGTCTCTTGTGACTGTGTAACAAATACTTAAATATTTCTTGATGTGTATTTCTAAGTGTTTATATTTAACTTATTTACATGTCTGATAAATAATACTAAGGATATAAATACATTATGGAACATATCCTCAATGTTTCAATTTATTATATAAACATAAAAAAATGAAATGATTATTGTCCTATCCCAGTTATTTATATATATATATATATATATATATATATATATATATTATTTGACCAATATGCAATGTGTTTATTTAATAGTATGTAAACCGGGACAAAAGAATTGACAAAATAAGAAGATGCACTGTTAAAAAATTGCATTCAACTTCATTGCTACATTGCAATAATATACCATTACCTAATGACAGCATTCTAGCTTCCTATTCTTTTGCTGCCTTACTTTTAACAGAGTGTCTTATTGTATTCATGAATATTACCACCATTGGTACCTTTTGCTCTACACAGTCAACTATATCCTAATTCTATCTTCTTTATTTGGAACCCATTATTTATCAACACTTCAGGCCTTATTTTTTTTCTCCCCACTCTTGCTCTGTCTCCTTTGCGTTACATATAGATACACATTTCTGTACTTTTAACCCCAAACTGTAACTGGAGATGAAATGACAGAATAATTTCAAATTTTTGACACTGCAGTTATATGGTAATCATATTCAGGTGGCAAGTTCAACAGAACAGCATTCATCTTTTTGTATCTGTAGTATGTGTTTAAGGTAAAGATTCTCTCTCTCTCTCTCTCTCTCTCTCTCTCTCTCTCTCTGAACTCTCTCTCTCTCCCCCCTTCCCACTGTTCACAATTCTTTTATGTGGAAAACCTTGACTATTTTTATATATGTTGCAGGCACCAGAACACAGGGCAAGTACCACTGAGTACACTTAGAAATGAAACCACTCCTATTTGCAGGTGATATGTTGACACATGTAGAAAAACCTAAAGTTTCTACTACAGGAGTATTAGAATCAACAAATGAATTCAGCAAAGTAGCAGAACAAAGAATGAAAGTCCAAAAATGAGTAAATGTCTTATATAATAGTAATTAATTTCCTGAAAAAGAAATAATGAAGCCTATACCATTCAAAATACACACATGCACATGCACACTCACTCACACACACATGCACACACATGAACAGTTAGGAAAAATTAAACTGTGAAAATGCCAGTTCTCTAGAATGAGAATTATAAAATATTAATAAAAGAAATTGAAGAAGACACTAAAGAATGAAAAGAAATAATACTGTCAAAGTGTTCATTACCCCAAGCAATCTTTTGATTCAATATAATCCCTGTGAATAATATCAATGATATTATTTGTATAAGCAGAGAAAAATCCTGAAATTGTTCCAGAATCCCTAAAATTCTCAAAAAAGCTAAAACAATCTTGGGCAAACAGAAGAAAGCTGCAAGCATCACAAATGATTTTCAGAAAATCTGCAGCACTAAAACCAGAAGCATACTGGCATAAAATCAGACATATAGATCAGTGAGACAGAATACATAGAGAGAGCAATATTCATGTAAAGAAGATTGAAAAGTGACCTCTATCTCTTGCCCTGTCCAAAAAAATCAACTCAGAATGGATCAAACACCTTAATGTGCATCCTGAAATTCTAAAACTATTAGAAAAATCATAGGGAAAGCATGCTGATAGGACAGCAGCAGCACAGGTAACAAAAACAAAACGAAAGTGACACAGTTGTCACAAGTTAACACATATCTACAGAGCAAAGGAAACATTCAGAGTAAAGAGACAACCTAGAAAATGCGGGAAAGTTTGGCAGCTATTTATTTTTCAGAAGATTAAAAGCTGGAATACATAAAAAATTAAAAAGTAACAATAAAAACAATTCAATTAAAATTCAACAATAACCTAAACCAACACATCTCCTGAGAAGAAATATAAATGGCTAATATATGAAAAAAATGTTCAATATCTTTAGTCATCATAGAAAACAAAACAAAATTGTGAGCTGGTATTTCACCCTAGTTAGAAGGACTGATGAAAATGTGGAGATAAAATAATTTATACTGTGTCCGTGCAATTACAAATTAATGTAGAGACTCTATAGAAAACATAGTGGCTTCTCGAAAAGTTAAAAATAGAAATATTGTATAGACTGGCTATCCCACTCCTGGGTATATAATCAAAGGAAATTAAATCTGCACACAAGAGATACCTGTGCGTCCTTGTGTATTGTGACACTTTTCACAGTGACTAAGATATAGAATCAGCCTGTGAGCCATCAACAAGAGTAGGGAATAACAAAACATATATACACAGCACAGTATTTATTATTCAGGCATAAAGGAGAATGATTCTCTCTCAAAACATAAAACTGGAGTTTAGAAACAGAACAAGTATGGCAAGTTCTCTTCTGAATATGAAAACTAACAAAATTTTGACTTGAAAATAGAATAGCAAAGCTTGTAGAAGGGGCAGCATTGGTGGAGGAAGAGTGGTTGAAAGTGATCAGTAGGCACTATGCATATGCGAATGTCATACATCATTACAACTTGTAATGAATATATTAACTAAAAATGAAAACTTTAACTACCACTTTGCAAGGAGATAAAGTTCAGTCTTTATCCTTGCATCCTTGCAGTAAACATTATTTTTGTGTTATTTGCTTTGCATATGTAGCAGTGGATAAAATGTTGTTCTGAAATTATAAGAAAAGGTTAATGTAGTAGATTCTTAGTTATTTCTCATTAGGTGTTTTTTTTTTTTCTTTCTTTTTTCAGTACCGGGAATTGAATTCAGGATCTCATGCTTGCCAGGTAGGCACCATGCGGCTGAGTCAGATTCCAGGCCTTATGCATTTTTCTTGTACAAATTAAAATTGAGTTTAACTGGTACATTGGCATTTAATAGTGATTATAGATTCAAGATACTATAATTGTTATTTTAATTTTATTTAATATTCATTTTATGATCTTTTATCTAGTAAATTTGCATTCATTGTATAATTGTTAAGAATATAGGAAAAAGGAAATAATGTCTAATCTGTGTAAACTTTGGCAGGTGCCACAGTGCTGACTGCTAATGATATACGTAGATCTTCTATTAATCATTGCTACATATTGATGAAGATTGAGTAATCAGTTGTTAGGCGAGTCTACATGAATTTTTATAAAAAGTGGGAAAAATGAGGTTTAAAAAGCTCAAATATGTACTAAGGAAACAGACCTACAGTACAAATATAAGCAACCCTGGCCAAGAAGTACATTAATTAACCATGTAAGAACAAAACTTCCAGAGTATCACAAGCATTTCTGAAATATAAATGAGTCATTGGCTACATCAGCTAAAGATTTAATGATAATCAGCTTTCATTAATTGCAGGGCTTACACAGACAGTAAGAACAAAATCTTTGATGTATCCTAAAAGGCTATGCAAGACGTGATCCCTGTCTACATTTCACCAGCCTCCTAGGGGAATTGTACTATTCTCTAGACTACGAAACTCCTGCCATAGGGACTCTTGCTATGCTTGGTCAGTTGGTAAAGTACGCTCTTTTCTATGACAAATCAACTCATTGGATTCACTCTAATCATAGCATCTCACATAGTTGTAGTATTGTGTCACAGCTAGAAGTATTAACACCAATAATATAATATCATTATTTAGCTTTCATTAGTTTCCCTTGCTCTCATTTTTATCTTTATATTTGTTTCTTTATTATTTAATCATGTGTAGAAACTGATAAATTATATTCCAGAATGAATCTATCATTTTAACTGTTACCCTCACTAGTAGTACTTTAATGATGGAGTTTTCCAATAGTCTTTCCAGCATTTCACTATTATTATTATTATTATTATTATTATTATTATTATATTCCAATGTAGTTGGTATGTGTGTGTTAATATTTCACTGTGCTTTTACAATGGTATTTTATATATTGCTTAGAAAAAAGGATGGAAAGGAGGGAAGAAGGAAGGAAGGGGAGGAGGAAAGAATGAAAGAAGTTAAAGAGGAAGAAAGAAAGGAAGCAGATAGGTAGACAGGAGGGCGTGCAGTCTGCTTTACCAGTTGAATATTCTTTCCTCAGTTCAAATTTTAACACTTGACAGAAAGAAACTCACCATAGAATCGATAATAACAGCCATCCTGTTATCATGCATCAGTGAGGAGGTGACTGTATCACAATCCGCCTGACTCCACAGGCTTGATGAGGTTAGATGGTGCCTTAGCTCCCTGTTCGTTTCCACTGCAGCACAAATAAGACAGTGCAGTTCTATTACTGGTTACTTATTTGATAAGCATCATTCTCGGCTCCTAGTCTCTAAGCTCCAAGTAGACAAAGACTTTATCTAATTTGTTTACTATATGATCTCCAACACTTTGAGTTTCTGACAGAAAGACACATAGCAAACACTACTAAATATCATAAAAGCATTCTTGTGAATTAATATATACTATAAACCTAAGAACGTCATCTCTTTACAGTTCTATATATTTATTCTCAAATACAAAATTGAGTCAGATCAATTTTACAACTCTGCACTTCAAATTTTTGAGGGGAGGGCGTAAATGACCCTGGAGAGATGATTAGAGTTTCAAAGTCAGCATGATTAAGTAAAATAAATTCTACTTAAAGTTTTCAAGAAAATACGTGAATATAAGCCAAGGCTAGATTTTTTTTTCTTTTAAAAATTACCCCCATCTTCATATTCAGTGTAGACAAAACTGCTAAATCACCTTTGATTGCAATGTTCTCTTTTCCTAAGATAATTCAGTCTCCAAGTATAGGGAGGCTATGATTCCTGCTCATTTTATACTCATTTAGAACCTTTATATCTGCTTAGAAATTTAGTATATGTGCTACTAAAGGGAGACCTCTGCTTAGAAATTTAGAGTACATAAAATCTACATGTCACTTGCTACAGAAAAAGATAATACCTTACTAAGTAAAAATATTTGATAATCTGGGATAGTGTAACAAGGACAAATTTAACAAAACAGTGATTTTAACACTATTAGTAGTTTATAGTTTTATTTCAAAATCACACAAATATTGACAAATACAAATTAATTTCAGTGGATTTTTTTTTAGAAATTATTTAATGACACAAACTTCTTGCCAAATTTATGACTAAAGGAATAAAAAATTACATTAAGACCCACTAGTCAGGATAGTCTGTGCATTAAAATCTGATGTGATTGACGTGTCCCCAATGAAATACAGTGCAATTCATCACATTCAACATTAAATATTAATAGGTAGCATCTATGTGTTTTTTGATAGGAAAGTAAGCTAAGGTCATTATAATAGGACAATATTTTTTATAAGAATATTTTCAAGTAAGTGTATTTTTCAAATTATTTGTATTATATTTAAATAATTTTCATTCATCATTTGTGATTTGTATATTAAATAAATATACATAGGGTGTACTTTAATCACTACCTAGCAACAACTTTAAGGAAATAGAATACTTTTTTAGTTTATATAAACAATATAGTATAAATGGTTAATTAAGGCTAAATTTTTATGTTTAAAAGGTTTCAATTAGGTGACCTTTTGTGTTTTAATTTTTTTCAAACAAGTGCTTATGGAGTTGGATGTCCTTTGCAATTAAACTTCTTCTCACTTTCACATACCCAGAAAGCCACTTCGCTGTAATGTACAGTCTTAACTTATTTTGGTAGTTCCATTTATTCTCAATGAATGCAAGCAGACGTTATACAACTTTTTTTTTTTTTTTTTTTTTTTTTTTTTAAGAGGAAAAAGAGAAAAACACAAAACAAACCAAAGCGGCGTAAGGGTACACGCAATACAGAACTACAAAAACAAAACAAAACAAAACAAAAAAACATAACAGTAAGAAATCACCTGCTAGTAGATTACACACTATCTTCTTGAAAATAGTTCCTCAAATCACAGTATCAAAGAACACAAGGTGGACATTCAAACAGGGAGACTGCAAACAGCTGTGTTCAATGTTCCAAAAACATTGATAAAGTCAGCTATTTAACACCCTCAAACACACTTGCTGTTATATCCGTTAGAGCTCTTTTTCTTTTTTTTTTCCCTCTCTTTTTTACAACAAAATTTACACATCTTGGATTTTATTACTCCTTAGTGCTTATTACTTTCTTTGGGGTGGGGGAAGAATACAGTCAAATATGGCAAAACAAAGCTGTCAGTCAATACCAAGGATAGACATAGCACATGGTGTAGAACAGAGTACAAGTTTATCAACAATGGTTATCAACGTTGTCCCTTGTTTCCTTAAAAAGAATTGTCTATCTCATTAGATATTATAAAGTTGGACAAAACAGTAGAGAACAAGACCAATAAAACTTAGGCATTGTAAACATTACAGGACTTCCAAAGAAGACAGTAGTCAAACCAGAATGGGTATCTTAGTGAATCTTATTGTCTTCAAAGTAGTTGCCTATGTCTTCAAACTTGATACTATCATATAGAATGGAACAGAGTCTAATCAGTCAAAAAAAGATTGTGGGAGTACTACAGGACTTCAAAACAAGTTAATAGGAAATCAAAAAGAGTTACTATTTATATATCCTAATTTTTTTGAATTTTTTCTTTAATTAAGACAAACATAAGAAATGACTAAATAATTTTTTTTGAAACAATAAGGGGGAGATTGAGATAAAACAGGACATAACAATATAACAATAGAGGTCACAGCATGACTGTTTCAACAACCTAGTACTTCACCACCTTATAACCTGACTTAATAGTAGTTACCATAGGGTCTTTTTCCTTGAAATATTTGGATAAAACTTCATATACTCTAGCTTCAAATATTTTCATATCAAGAAGCCCAGAATAAAGCCTTTCTAATTAATGAGTGAAAACTTTATAAGGCTTCAAGGCCACCTAATGGGGAATCATGATTACCACATATTTTTATATATTTGAATCATTACTTACATTAGGGAAACTATTCGGTATTCACACATGCGAGATTGATTTATTTCACTAATGAGTATGGTCTCAAGCTGCGCCCATTTATTGATAAATATCTCAATGTGATCCTTCTTTATAGCTGAATAATACTCCATTGTATAGAAATACCACAACTTTTTTATCCATTCCTCAGTTGATGGGCACTTGGGTTGTTTCCAAGATTTGGCGATTACAAATTGTGCTGCTATAAACATAGGTGCACATATATCACTGTGGTATGATGCTTTCAGTTCTTCTGGGAATATGGCTAGAAGTGGAATAGCTGGAATAAATGGGATTTCCAGTCCCAACTTTTTGAGAAATCTCCAGACAGATCTCCACAAAGGCTGTACCAGTCTACACTCCCACCAGCAGTGCAGGAGAGTTCCTTTTTCCCCACAGCCTCTCCAGCATTTGTTGTCGGTTTTCTTGATCCTGGCCATTCTTTCAGGAGTGAGATGGTATCTCAGTGTGGTTTTAATTTGCATTTCTCTAATGACCAATGATGATGAGCATTTTTTCATGTATTTATTTGCCATTTGCATTTCTTCATCTGAGAATTGCATATTCATCTCAGATGCCCATTTTTGGATTGGATCTTTGAATTTCGGAGGTCTGAGTTTCTTTAATTCTTTATATGTTTTAGACAAGAGGCCCTTGTCTGAGAGAGAGTTCCCTAAAATCTTTTCCCAGTTTGTGGGTTTTCTATTCACTATGCTGGAGATTTCTTTTGACATGCAGAAACTTTTTAATAAGAAGTGGTCCCAGTTATTGATTCTGGGAAGTATTTCCTGTGCGGTTTGAGTCCTGTTCATGAATTCTTTACCTACTCCTATGTCTCCAAGGTTTCTACCTAT